GAGAGTCCAGCTAAGCTCTTGGGTCATTCCAGGTACGCTGTCAATCATAGCCTTGCCCGTGACAATTAACAGCGGATGCATGACCCAAGCACCTGAGTGGCGATCAGACCACCTTCCACGACTTTTTTGTTACAAAAGCTCACCTTTTCGGTTGACCCATTCAGCATTGATGTTCGCATATACATTCTGGTCGAGTACCTCCTCCTGCGTGCGCTTTCCGACCTCCTCAACTTTAATCAAGCTGTTTGAACGAGCACGACCTCCTGGATGTCGTGGTGGCGACAGCTTCGTTGCAGCAACCGAAACGGGTGTGATGACCACCGAAGGCCCTTCCATTGATTCTTCCACTCTGAAAAGAGGAGAAAGGGACGGCAAGGCAAAGCAGAACGAAATGAAAGGAAGATGGCGGTCAAATTCAGAGTCGAAATCTTTCCGATGGCCCGGTCCATCCATTGCTGCGCCAAAGGTCCATGGACCACCGTTCGCTTGTCGCCATCAATGTTGACCGTGACGCGTTGACGTCGACCACCGCGACCAACTTCAATTCAAGCTCGTTCACGAGAGCAATTCGCCATGTTATTGTACTGGGGCATACTCGAGCCGCCCAATCCGTCGGTGAACTTAGCTGCAGTCCGCTTCTCGTCGGCAGTCCGTGTACGGTCCATTCGCATCTTTCCAACGGGTGCACAGTCGTTCCAGGACGCGGAGGATGTCACCGCGTGCGTACGGACAATTATGCAGATCATCAGGCTAATTTCATTCCAATAATTAGGTGCACTGAGCCGCCTTCTATGTATCTGGACGTTTTCTTCAACGCTCAGCCCGTTCCAGCTCCCGACGGCAGCGCGCCAAAGCAGAAGGCGTCGAACGCGCTTGTCCCTACTACAATCGCGTATCCCGGTGGCCTCTTGGATTTCTGCGTAGATATGGACGTTGAAGTAAGTTTAAAGCTCTTCAAAAGACTACACGCTAATTCAGAGCATACAAGTTCGCAACGCGACTGATGATCATTCGTGGCGGATTCACTAGTCTTACTCTTGCAGTTTACGGCGAGACTGTCCAACAACTTTCAGAATCGGATGGACTCTATGAGCCAAAACAAATACCACATGTTGATTATAAGCCTGTTTCCATGATACTGGACCCCTCGAAGTCTGATGATCCAACCGCCTTGGCAAAGAGCCTGCTCAGTTTGATCCCAAATTGCCCAGAACTATTGCTCATGGTTCGGCTCATGTTCTGCCTCAAACCTTCGAACGAAGACTGGGAGGAACCGGACTTCCCTCACTTATACGCTGACCTGGAGCAAGAATATTTCGATCTAAGCCTCGAAAAGGCGGAGAAATTACTCTCGCGACCGGTGTCAGATGCTCAAAATGTCGACTTTATAAAGGAGTTCGCGCTCAAAATCGTCGATTGTATATCTTCCTATGTTAGTCTCTCTTCTTCTTCAGTTCTCTACGTACGTCTAATGCTATTTTGAAAGGACGACGACGACGCATACTTGTTCGCTAAAATCCTATCGCACTGCGCGTCCCAGCACCCGAGCCTGACGCACTCCTTAGTAGTAGGTTCCTATCACCAGCTCTTAACTTTGAGTCGTTCAATCATGCGATATTCTTAGACCCACGTCGATCTCGAAACACTTTACGCAGAGCGTAATTTGGATAAGTCCACTCTGCTGTATTTGTTAGACGCTTCGGCAAATCTCGATATTGCGAGACAACTGAAGCTCGCTGGCGTACCTGACTCGTTGTCCAAGATCATAAATTCCCTGACCAGCAACGCCGATACCAAGAGGGTCGCTCGTCGCCTACAAGATCGGCTGGCTGGCTGGGAAGTGTTCGAGGACGCCTTGTCCAACACTATGGCGCCTTTTGGCTCTGCCGTATCAATGATGAAGGACATCGCACTCGAAGAGATGTCATTTGGCATTTGGTTATCGACCATGCTCTCACACAGTGACATGTTGGATAGGTTGACAGAGAATGCCCCTGCTCCTCACCTCTTACCCCAACTTCCCTCACTATGGAATGCCGCAAATCAGACGTGCACGCATGGAGAGTTCATTGCTTTCGTCCGTGCTGTCATTGGCGTCGCCGCAGTCGTGGCAGTCTACGCTTGGTCGGACTCCGTGCCCATTGAATCTTGTCGCGAGCGGAGTCTCACTACCTTGAAATTTTGGCAGAATGTGGATGGATACCGAGAGGCACGTACTAAAAGCTTTTACATGGAAATATGCTTACTTGCAAAATCAGATTGTCAACCACTTGTTGTTGATGCGACAAATGGTGTACAGACTCCAGTACATGTTGCCTACGGAGAATGACCTTCCAACACGTTCAGCGATAGACGCTGAGCATATGCTGAAGAGCCTCGCTCTGTTGCCGAGATCTATGCTCCGAGTAGATTTTCGTGACATGATGAAGGACCTCCCAGCGCCATTGAACTATATCACAAACGAAGAAGTGGATGTTTTCAGACGAGCGGCAGATATCGCTCGCAGCGGGTTACCCGAAGCAATTAAGGTCGTTTTAGGGACGACGAGCCCAATGGACGATTGGGATTGGAGATTGCAGTTTCGAGTCGCCCTTGCGGTCGTGGAGGACTCGGCGAAACGAAGTGACGAAGACGAATCCAACAAAGTGGTCCTCGACGCAACTTGGAAAGAAGGGCAAAGTACACTCATCCCTTCGCTGATAGAGCTATTTGTCAAGGCCACGTCCATCGTCACTCGTTACTTCTCATTGGACATCGTACCGCGCAAACCCCAGTCAAAGCTCTCCAGCATTTTCGAAACATGCCATGACCTGTTGAACCTCATTTCAGTGCTCATTCCTGGCAGTCCCCTTCCCTCTCGAGACATCGCGGCCCTGGTTCAGTCAGCGGCGGACGTATTTGTCTGCACAGACTCCGCTGATATTTCGTACTCTCAGGAGAGCGAGGTATGCAAGACAGCGCACTTGGTTCGCCAGAAGGTCATTGATCTAGTGTCGTCGTTGGTTTCTTCCGACGGTAGCCTACTGTCAAAACCTCCTCCTGCGTCCACGATACTAAAGGCTCTACTTGAGCATGCATCTGATCCGGGAAACCACGACGTGGGTCACCATATGACGCAGGTTTTCTGGCTCTTCGACCATGCACTCCCTTCCCAAATTACCTGGGATTCAGACGGATCACGGAGGAATTGGGTGCTCGCTGTTATGCCAAGCATCGTTCCTCAATTGCGGTCGTTCTATTCGAAGCAAGAGGGCGACAATCGAGCGCACCTAATTCGTCGTGTCTTAGAAATCGATGATGGCCTTTTAGGCGTAGCGGATTGGCTATTATCCGAAGAGAACAATATGCTATACGACACCATTAGGAGTGCACGGCGAAGTGCTTCGGACCTGGGTCTCCGCTCCTTATATCATTGGAGGATCGCGGTCTCGTTGCAGGTGTTCACAACACTGACCTGTAGTTCTTCGGAGTCGCTGTCTTCGTGGGTGATTCAGACGCTGCTGCACAACGAACCATGTTCGAACCTCTTAGAAAAGAACCTCAACGCATTCGTGGTACAAAATTTGTATCATGAGAGTATGGGTTCCTTGGCTCAAGTGCTTTCTCCGCATAGTGAAGGCTTAGGATCAAGACTGAGGACATTGCTCCTAACGATTCTGTCCCGCGCATGTAGATGTCATCAGTACCAGGCATGTTGCTCGATCCCGGTTTTGCTTGAAGGTGGGGTCGACGCTTTGGACCAAGGCATTCTTCGGGAATTGGGTGGCGCATTGGAGGCCATAGCAACTTCGATAAAATCGTCTTCGCCTCTGCCGGTAGGCGTAGTGGATGCCATTCGACAAATCTTGAGTCGAGTTTCGGAGCAAAACGTCTCTGGGTCAGTTATTCCTGGAATATCAACTTCCTGTCTTCGAGATTTGACACATTGGTGTGCACAAAATATTGCCGACAAAGAACTGCAGACGCAATTCGAAGAAGTCAACGTGAGGCTTCTAGGATCGGAGCAAAACCTTCCGCATTTGACCATTATTTCAAGCGGAAACTCCGTCGATCTTTCCCTAGGCGCATGGCAGGATATGCTTTCTCCCTCCACGCCTGTTCCCTCGACCCCCAAGCGAAAATCACCTGCTCAGTCAGCCGAACTAGCCGGAATGATCACTGTCTCTCCTCCAAACGCCCTTTTACGCTCCCCAGAAGTCAGAGGGCTCACGAAGACGTATGCGAACAATGATTTTAGGCAGCTTCGGCAACAATCAGCCGCAAGGCAAAACACGAGCCGTCTTCCAAGTATGCATGTAGATGTAAGCTCTTTCTTTCTCAGTCTCCGCCTCTCCATGCTCAACCCTATTTTTCGCTCCAGGACTTTGAACAAGGAGCACCAACGAATATAATTGCTCCTTTGAATCTCAGCTCACCTATAGCCGCGACGTTCCCGACGACAGCACGACCTCCGTCTCTTCCAGCGAATCCAATGACTTTGATGCATGGATTCAACTTTCCACAAGCACCTCAGTAAGGTTTTGTGTAAAATTGTACCGTGGCATGTGCAAGACTGTGTATTACACATACCTGGAACAATAAAGGCTGTTGCAATATATAAGCGTAGTCTTTCCGTCGAAACGATCAAAGCATATCTCGCATGCGAGGCCAAGGTAAGTCTGGAACTTGAGAAAAAGAACAAAATATCCCCATGTCACCTTGCCAGTGCCACCGTCCATGTCCCATTTAATAACGTCGCATACCACTGCCGCAGCAGGATCAGTTGTGTTACAATTGCACCATGATGCATGTTACTGGGGTGTTCATAACACGACTGGTTCAGGAGGTAAAAACTGGGGCGGGTTTCGAGTGGATATGTTTTGTCAAGTTTTTACAGTTAAAGAAGAGTTAGTCAAAGAAAACCAAGGTAAGTGTGTAAATATGAGCAAAGATGTAAACGAGTTCAAATTATTTCTTTCCCGATGAAAAGTCTCAGTAGGAGAAGAACTCGATAAAAAGAATACCCACGGCGGGACTCGAACCCGCAGCCTTCAGATTTTAACTCGGACCAGCATCGCGTGGCTCATAGAAGTCTGACGTCATAACCATTAAACTACGCGGGCAACGCAATTGGTCACAGCAAATAATATAAGATAGTGTCATTAAGTTAGCATCGTGGTTCGAAGATCGTTGCTTGTGGAGTTCAAACTCAACTCGTTCAGCTTGACCAGTCAACCGTGGCTAAATTCCCTCTTGCACCTTTCCATCTGAACGATGGACGGGTGAATTGGACCAAATTATTGGCTTTCACTGGGAAGCATTCCGTGGCAACTAATATGATCATTCAATGGGGTTTTCGTTTCGGCGAAAGGATACATTGCACGTCGGGAGCACTGGCATCTCCGAGTCCGAGTCCCTGGGATAACTCAAGGGTGCGACCTTTTGAGAAGGGAGGTAGCAGGGATACAGTCCTACTAACCAATCAAAGGCTTGTAGATCCTCGCAACGTCGTGTCTGACGTTATCGAACTCGAAAGGGATACAGTTAGGGCGGTTGGATGATCTCGTCGGCAATTGTGCAGCCGTGGAATTAACTTGAAGCGAAGCCTTCGACGAGGCGGAACTGATATAAGGACACGACCTTCCACACGTCCATCGTTTCGTCAGCCACTGACAGGAGTCGAGTTGGCCACTGCTTCGGCTTGGGTTGAACTCTCGAAACACGTTTTTGGGGACGGTCGCAGTGACTTCGCAGTCATATCGTGTTCAAGTTTCTCGGCGGGGACACACCAAAGTTCTTGGACTCCCTTAGAGGCAAGCGTATCTGGATTCCTACGAATATGGACGAGGGACGGTCGTTTACGAGGTTTCCGAGTCCGCTATGTCATGCCTCGGGTATTGATGTCGCTCACCGACAGTGTCAAACATCTCCGGATCTCTGCACTGCAAAGCTGCAAACCATGGAACTCTTCGACATTATTGAACTGAGGTCGTATGTGACACCTCTCGCTGAGCGACTCCGTATTGCCGTTTCTGAAGACCAAAAGTGCGAAGAGTGCGTTGTCAATCTCCATCTGTTTCTTGACGGATACCAACTCCTGTTGCGCTTGCAGATCATCTGCCTTGCCGCCCGCCATCGTAGCCCCAAAGCTGAATATACGTCGCGATTGGACCTCTTCCGCCAGGGACAACGCGAAAGCGGATTTGATATTATCTTCCAGCGATGCCATTACCTTCCAGGTCCACCGAGATCACCTCCTTGCAGCGTCAACGAACGGCTTCAACGAGAAGCTGTCCGCTTGTAAGCTGGAACCAGACACCGAGGCTGTCGATCGACCCACCCTCGTCCTTCCCTACTCGAGCGTGGTATTGAATGTATTACTGCGCGTCATTTACAAGGAAGAGGGTCACCTTCGAGTCGAAAATACCTCGTTGGTGGACGTATCTTCCGCCATCCATGCCTTCAAGGAGTAAGGCATCCCCGTGAAAGAATCCATCTCAAATCCGTCTTTACTATTCAGCGTGCTGGCTTTCCACTGCCAACTCTCCCCGTCTGTCGCTCTGGAGGTGTGTGTACTCGCAGCATCCCATGCTCCCGACCTTCATCACATCGCCGTGCACGCCTCGCGCTTCCTTCTTTCTATCAAGTTCTCTCGTATAACAGACGAGATCGCTGCGTTTATGGGCCCCACCTACCTCCTCAGGTTGTGTCAGCTGTTGACGGGTAGGACTCAAGAGTTCAAGCGACTGTTGCTTCCGACTCCGCAGCTGCACAAGCCGGTGCCTCAATGTGACACCAGAGTCCTGCGCGAAGCTTGGACGCTGGTGACGGCGTTTCTCATGTGGCATGCTGCTCCGGATCTGGGGAATGGGACTATAGATGGCCTGAAAGATACAGTCATCGAACGAATACGATGCAAGCGATGCAACGACTCCGATTTGAGGCTTTGAAGCAGTCGTAGTCTTCAGTCAAGGTGAGTTCTTCTTCGACTTTCTGCATCACTTCCGGAAATGACTGATTCATAGTGCACGATTTGAACACAAGTATCACTGCAGATAGTCGGATATATGAACAATTTCACGAGATTAAGAAACCAAACATTGTAATAGCATGGTAGCAAATAGCATCGGGCTCCATAGCATCTGAGTTCATTTGGGAACCCAGTGGTGACTCGGACGCGGTGACGCGTATCAAGTGGACCAGGTTCTGAGGTTGGGTTCCACGGTCTCTTTGCCACTGGTGCACTGTATCAGTGCCTATCATTTGCACACAGAATCTTATTTACTGGCGAGAGCCGTCATCGTGTGTCATGATCGTCATGAGTGGGCAATCTTCGGGCCAGCTTTGAAGAAAGAATGCAATGCGTAACATAGATGAACGTTCGATGAACCGTGGTCAACTTCCGTCACTTCCGTGACTTCGACGCGATACAGGTCAATTGAGCGCGGGGTTCGACTCGGAGACGCGAGATGAGATGAACCACGAGTCGTGATCTCAGATTTTTTCCCTTCCATAACCTCCGTTTCTTACCCACTCGCCCTTTCTTTGAAGCCGATCGCGCCGTGAAGACCGGGTCATTGTTGGCCATTGAAAATAACACTCGATGCCGAATCGTCTTATGGGAGGATGAAGACGTCGACGAGCCTGCGCCGATACGGTCGTTTGCCGGCCGCATGTCGTGGGGTGGGCCATTCACTTCCTTACGGATGCAGGCGAAAATGTCATCGAGAAGTTGGGAGAGTTGCGGCGCTGATGACCACCGTGCTCCGCTCGAGAGGAAGATGGTACGTTTACGATGGAGTTGAGTTCCAGACCAAATTCGTCAAAAGAGCAGTTCAATCATGAACCCGAGCCAAATTTCTGCTATTTCCCAAGGGATCCGAGTTGTTGCAGTTCCCAGAGATCCAGAGATCTCCGCGGAAAAGATAGCTAAGCGCTAAGAAGGCCCTGCCCTTTGATTGTGTTGGTCGTTGGTCGGTGAGTTTTGAGCCGGGTCGTAGCTTGGAGCAACGGTACTAACCATCCTTTTGACGTGTAGCCTCCCGTAGAAGTTATGGAAATGTTTGAAATCATCGAATTCGAGTCACACGTCTCGCCCCTCTCCGAACGACGACGTAAGTTGGATATTGGTATCGATGCGTAAGTCTTTAAATGGGCATGTTCATCGGAATGAAGCTAAACGGAAATCATTTGTCGCATTAGTACAAGTGAGGGAGCCCAAACACCGAGAGAGCAGGTTGCACCTTCCTCCAACTCACATACGGTCCATCGTGAATGGAACAAAGCCTCGGACATTCTCTTGGGTTTGCCCGAAGATACCACTATCATCTCGAGTGACTTCGTGCACTTTCATGTGCCACCAGACGCTCCTCCTTGTGGAGTCGACAAATATGTTCAATTGCCTCCTCCCTCTTGCAAATTTCGCCTTGCAATTTGAAGAGCCTGGGGTCGATACTGCAGAGGACAAGGGGGGCCATCACGTTCTTCGTCTTCCCGAGCGCGGAGTGGTGATTAACTTTCTGTTGTTTGCAGTGTATAAGAGGACGGCTGCCGAGGGCGGATTTGATCCTTCCGAGCTCTCCCTTCCGATACTAAATTCCGCTCTCGACGTTCTGGAGACATATGGAATACCCTTACAAACATCCATCTCGGGAGGTTCAAACTTGTTCAGAGCATTCGCGACCCATTGCTCGCGCAGCACGGATTCAGCGCTTCAAGTATACTCCCTCGCCGCTTCGCGTGTACCGAATCTCCATCCCCTCGCGGTCTACTCGTCCCAGTTCCTCCATTCCGTGGAATTGAACAGTGTCCCGGACGATATGGACGCCGCATACGTCCGCAGGCTGTTCATGCTCCATATCGAGCGTGTCCTGGAATTTAAACGGCTCATCCGCAGCGTCCCACTGCCCCATTGCCCACTACCGTATTGCGACGACACCAACGGCAGTGCAATAACGGCGGCATGGGCTTTCGCGGCGGCGTATTTTTTGTTTGCTGTGACGCCGGGTCTGCAGCTTTCTTTGATAGATGGCGTTATGGCCTCTGTCATAGATAAGGTGTCGTGCAACATGTGCAAGAACATATTGGTGGATCGCTTCCGGATGTTGAAGCAGGATTGGTCACTCGTGAAGGTAGGCCATCCAAATGCAATTCTCCGTCGCTTGAAATTCCTAAATTCTTGAGCATAGCGAACCATCTGAACCATTTTCAAGTTGGGAATTGGAGACGACTCGCGTTCGGCTCTTCGCCCACTCAGTGGCGGGAACCTGGCAGTAAAGCCCATTGACTAGTACTGGTCTTACTGACAGATTTCCGTGACTTCTTGACTCGCTGGTATTTGACCGCTTTTGTATGATTTTTGCGAATCATCACGTGTTGATTGACATCGAAACAGATAGGCCTGAGTTAGACTAGTACTCAGCATATTTGTCGTTGCGTTCGGCCAAAGCCAACGCATCTTCAGAGGCTCTTGCAAGATAAATTTAAGTAGAAGGGCATCGGGTCGTCCGTCGTCGCTTTACTGGTGAACTTCGTTCAGTCCTTCGTGCGATAGCGATCAATCTCCGAACTCATGAAGCGCTCACGTTATGCACAATGACGGCGAGCGATACTGGTACAGCTACGAAGGTCCTATTTCTATTGGATTCGCTCTGCCTTCCTTACCAGATTTCTCCGGGGAACAGGTTTTGCTATCTTGTGTTAGTCGTCTTATGCATTTGTTTTCTTTGGTGCGGTTTATCATCATGATCGTTTCTGACCGTTTCCGTCCACCTGGTGTCTCTTTACAACGATTGTACTTATGATCCTTTTTCGTTGAATAAGAAAACCTTCCTCAGCCTGCAGATTGTTAGCAGGATGTCGTACAAAATTTAACGTCGAAAGTGAAGTGAAGGTCTTCCAAGCGAGTTTCCGGACCGGACCGGGATTCGCAGCCACGCGAGTGTTCGATTCAATTTGCGATTTACATGCCAGTGAAGCAGGGACACAAAGAGACGGCCGTCATTGCGTCAACTTCAACACTACAGCACTATCACATCCATGCGCTGCCTACTCTCCCCATCCTTCTTGACACTATAGTCGGCGGTGGTGAACGTCGCTTTCGTCATGTCGTTTTCTTTCAAAT